TTTAGTAGAGACGGGGTTTCACCATGTTGACCAGGATGGTCTCGATCTCTTGACCTCGTGATCCACCCGCCTCGGCCTCCCAAAGTGCTGGGATTACAGGCTTGAGCCACCGCGCCCGGCGAGCTTGGCTTCCTCTTGCAGGGCGAGTTTGGGAGTCAGATAGGAAGCCACTAATCTGGGACCTTTTAGGACCTAAGGCACTCTGCCCCAAACATACCAGGCACACCAGGTGCAGCAGCTCGTGTCTGTAATGCTAGCACTTTGCTTTGCTTTTCTTTTTGAGACAGAGTCTTGCTCTGTCACCCAGGCTGGAGTACACTGGCACAATCTTGACTCACTGCAACCTCCACCTCCCAGGTTCAAGTGATTCCCCTGCCTCAGCGTCCCAAGTAGCTGGGACTACAGGCACGCACCACCACTCCCAGGTAATTTTTGTATTTTTAGTAGAGACACGGTTTCCCCATGTTGACCAGGCTGGTCTCAAACTCCTGACCTCAGGTGATCCACCCGCCTCGGCCTCCCAAAGTGTTGGGATTACAGGCGTGAGCCACCACACCCAGCCAGTCTTAGCACTTTGGGAGGCCGAGGCAGACAGATTGCCTGAGCTCAGGAGTTCAAAACCAGCCTGGAAAACATGGTGAAAGCCCGTCTCTGAAAAAAATACAAAAAATTAGCTGGGCATGGTGGCGTGCACCTGTAATCCCAGCTATTCAGGAGGCTGAGATACAAGAATCACTTGAACTCAGGAAGTGGAGGCTGCTGTGAGCCCAGATCGTGGCACTGCCCTCCACCCTGGGCAACAGAGTGAGATTCTGTCTCCGGGAAAAAACAAAACAAAAATCGAGATCAAGCATACCTGGGAGTTGGCAGGATAGATCTGTCCCCCGAGGGTGGAGACAATGGTCCACTGAATGGGAGCAGCTGAGCATCTCATGTGGGTGACCACGTTTCTCCAGCTCACACCTGTGGCAGACATCAGTAATCGATTACAGAATGCATCCCCTGAAACCTGAACTCGGTGTCCTAGCCACCTGCTACCTCCCAGTCACATGAGGTAGAATCCTCTGCCTGCTCACCCCGGATCTGGTCCCCTTGGCCTTGGTTTCCTATTGGGGCTCAGAGGGACAAGCGGGAACTGACCTGACCCCTGACCTACCCACAGAGTGGATCCCGGCTACATGAGCCCAGATGTGAAAAATTCCATCCATGTCGGAGACCGGATCTTAGAAATCAATGGCACACCCATCCGAAATGTGCCCCTGGACGAGGTATGGTCCTGAGTCTGGGGGGCAGGATGGGAGGTGGTGCCTTTATGCCTAGCCCCCCCTCCACCCCAACCCCGTTCACATGCCTGCTGTTCCCAGATTGACCTGCTGATTCAGGAAACCAGCCGCCTGCTCCAGCTGACCCTCGAGCACGACCCTCACGATACACTGGGCCATGGGACGGGGTCTGAGACCAGCCCCCTGAGCTCTCCGATTCACACACCTGGCGGGGAGGCGGGCAGCTCCGCTCGGCAGAAGCCTGTCTTGTAAGTCAGCCTGCTCCTCAGTTCACAGGGTGCTTTCATTCCTGCTGGGCTCAGGGGCCATGGGACCTGGGTGGGGCAGCCAGGCCTGCACAAACGCAGCCCAGGCTTGAGCCAGGGAGGTGGAGGCTGCAGTGGGCTGTGATCATGCCACTGCTCTCCAGCCTGGGTGACAAAACAAGACCCAGTCTCCAGAAAAAAAAAGGAAACAAATTTTAAAAGGGGAAGGAGGTGGGGCCAGGTGAGGTAACTCATGACTGTAATCCCAGCACTTTAGGAGGCCGAGGCAGGTGGATCACTTGTGGTCAGGAGTTCAAGACCAGTCTGGCCAACATAGTGAAACCCCATTTCTACTGAAAATACAAAAATAGCCAGGCTTGGTGGCAGGTGCCTGTAGTCCCAGCAACTCGAGAGGCTGAGGCAGGAGAATCACTTGAACCCAGGAGGCGGAGGTTGCAGTGAGCCGAGGCTATGCCACTGCACTCCAGCCTGGGCAACAGAGCGAGACTCTGTCTCAAAAAAAAAAAAAGGATGACAGAGCGGGATCTGAGGGTTTAGGGGAAGCTGGGGGTTGCCACCAGAGCCAGGAAGAGCCAAGACGCTGGGATGGGCAGACTTTGGACTGTCCCTGGCAGGCCCTTCCAAAGCAGGGGGTGACGGTATACACTGGCGTGGACAGGGGCAGGCAGGAGGAGGAAGGGGCAGGGCCTTGGGTGGGTGCCACCCATCCCCCAGTGGCACCAGGCGCCCATGTGTGCCCCCCAGGAGGAGCTGCAGCATCGACAGGTCTCCGGGTGCCAGCTCACTGGGATCCCCGGCCTCCCAGCGCAAGGACCTGGGTCGCTCTGAGTCCCTCCGCGTGGTCTGCCGGCCACACCGCATCTTCCGGCCGTCGGACCTCATCCACGGGGAGGTGCTCGGCAAGGGCTGCTTCGGCCAAGCCATCAAGGTACAGAGCGTGGTGGCATCTCAGGGGACCGTCTGGGTGGGAGCCCTCCGTCCTCCTCCCTCCTCCCCAGTCTGTGGACACGCAGTGGAAGGGGTATCTGGCTTCTGGACTCCGTGGCCAGTGCCCTCTCCACCACTGTGGCCTCCTGGGGCTAATTAGGAGCATGGGACCTCCTACAGGTAGACAGAGACCTTATGTGCAGGACATCATTGAAAGGTGGCCCCTCGCCCGGCGCAGTTTATCCCTGTAATCCCAGCCCTGTGAGAGACTGAGCCTGCAAAATCGCTTGAGCCCAGGAATTCAAGACCAGCTTTGACCTTATCTCTAGAAAACATTTAAAAATTAATTGGGTATGATGGCGACTGCCTGTAGTCCCAGCAACTCAGGAGGCTTAGGCAGGAGGATCGTGAGGCAGGAGTTCAAGCCTGCAGTGAGCTATGATCATACCACTACACTCCAGCCTGGGCAACAGAGCAAGACCCCCTCTCAAAAAAAAAAAAAAAAAAGACCGGGCACGGTGGCTTAAGCCTGTAATCCCAGCACTTTAGGAGGCTAAGGTGGTCGGATCACCTGAGGTCGGGAGTTGGAGACCAGCCTGACCAGCATGGAGAAATCCCGTCTCTACTAAAAATAGAAAATTAGCTGGGCGTGGTGGCGCATGCCTGTAATCCCAGCTACTCGGGAGGCTGAGGCAGGAGAATCACGTGAACCCTGGAGGCGGAGGTTGCGGTGACCCAATATCACCATTGCACTCCAACCTGAGCAACAGAGCAAGACTCCGTCTCAAAAAAAAAAAAGCAAAAAGGGATGAATGCATCCCGTCCACCTGGGTGTCTGGGAACATCCCCTGAGCAGCCTAGAGTATGAACAAGCCATCTGCACGCCTCCCTGCAGTCCTGGGATGGAGGTGGGGCTTCCTAGGAGGCAGGCTTACAGCAGAGCCTCTGTCTTCATACCTCTGTGTCTCACACGCAGGTGACACACCGTGAGACAGGTGAGGTGATGGTGATGAAGGAGCTGATCCGGTTCGATGAGGAGACGCAGAGGACATTCCTCAAGGAGGTCAGTGAGCGGGATGCCCTCTTCCCTCCAGAGGGACTTCCAGCTCCTCACCCCTGCCCCATGCAATAGATCAGGAAAAGGCTCTGGGACGCATTGAAAGAAGAGAGAGCAGGCCAGGCAGAGTGTCTGATGCCTGTAATCCCAGCACTTTGGGAGGCCAAGGTGGGAAGATACTTTGAGACCAACCTGGACTACATAGCAAGATCCCATCTCTACAAAAACACTTTAAATTAGCTGAGGTTGGTGATACGCACCTGTCATCCCAGCTGCTTGGGAGGCTGAGGTGGGAGGATCGCTTGAGCCCAGGAGTTGGAGGCTGCAGTGATCGCACCACTGCACTCCAGCCTGGGCAACAAGGCAAGACCCTGTCTCCAAAAGGAAGAAAGTAACTCCATGGGCCGGGAGCAGTGGCTCAAGCCTGTAACCCTAGCACTTTCGGAGGTGGAGGGGGCAGATCACCTGAGGTCAGGAGTTTGAAACCAGCCTGGCCAACATGTCGAAACCCCTTCTCTACTAAAAATACAAAAATTAGCTGGGCGTGGTGGTGGTGGGCGCCCATAATCCCAGCTACTCAGGAGGCTGAGGCAGGAGAATCGCCTGAACTCGCGAAGCAGAGGTTGCAGGGAGCCAAGATTGCGCCACTGCACTCCAGCCTGGGTGACAGAGAGAGACTTCTCAAAAAAAAAATCGTAATTTCAGGGAGGGGACTGGGAATAAGAGCATTGCTGTGGGTAGAGGCAGCTGAAGCAGAGCGCACAGCAGCTGCTGGGTGTGGCAGAAGCAGGAGAGGGAAGCTGGGTTTCGTCATCTTTGAGACCATCTGCCGCCCCGGGGGGATGGAGCGGAGAGAAGCAGACCCAGCTCAGACCCCACAGAGCCCGGGCCCATCCTGCTTGTGCCCCATCAGGTGAAGGTCATGCGATGCCTGGAGCACCCCAATGTGCTCAAGTTCATCGGGGTGCTCTACAAGGACAAGCGGCTCAACTTCATCACTGAGTACATCAAGGGGGGCACGCTCCGGGACATCATCAAGAGCATGGTGAGTCCCGGGCAGAGCCAGCCACCCCCGCTGTGCAGCCCCGGGCACGGCGGCTCCCTCTCTGGGTCTCAGTCTCATCTCTTCACCGGGAGGCAGCCACAGGGGTCTCAGGGCCCTCAACCCTGATTCCGATTACATAGGGGAGCGACAAACTCCACGTAAAGTTGGGAAAGGCCAGGTACGATGGCGCACACCTGTTATCCCAGCGCTTTGAGAGACCAAGGCGAGAGGATCGCTTGAGGCCAGGAGTTCAAGGCTGCACTCCAGCCTGGGCCACGGAGCATGACCCTATCTCAAAAACCAGAATAACATTCAGAACTTTTCTTAAGGATTTGGATAAAATTACAAATCCATCTTTATAAATAAAGAGCTCTGGCCCAGCACGGTGGCTCACGCCTGTAATCCCAGCACTTTGGGAGGCGAGGCGGGTGGATTATGAGGTCAGGATTTTGAGACCATCCTGGCCAACATGGTGAAACCCCATCCCTACTAAAAAATACAAAAATTAGCTGGGCGTGGTGTGGGTGCCTGTAATCCCAGCTACTCAGGAGGCTGAGGCAGGAGAATTGCTTGAACTCAGGACACAGAGGTTGCAGTGAGCCAAGATGGCGACACTGCATTCCGCCTGGTGACAGAGCGAGACTCTGTCTCAAAAAAAAAAGAAATTGGGTGTCAGGGAGCCCATAGGACCCTCTAGGACACTTGCCCCCTTCCTGCCTCTCTCTCATGCAACCATCCCTGCCACCGAGCCCCCGCCAGCCACATCCTGGCCATTCCTTTTCTATTCCAGGACAGCCAATACCCTTGGAGCCAGAGAGTGAGCTTTGCCAAGGACATCGCGTCGGGAATGGTGAGTGAGCCAGGTGTTCCAACTCCATTCCTAATGCCACCAGGAATTTGCAAACAAAACTCACAAACGGCCGGGCACAGTGGCTCACGCCTGTAATCCTAGCACCTTGGGAGGCCGAGGTGGGTGGATCACCTGAGGTCAGAAGTTCAAGACCAGCCTGGCCATCATGGTGAAACCCCATCTTAAAAAAAATAATAATAATTTAAAAAAATAATAAAATAAAATAACTCACAAAGAAGCTTTGAAAGAGGGCAGAGGGGGACCGGGCACAGTGTCTGACGCCTGTAATCCCAGCACTTTGGGAGGCTGAGGCAGGTGGATCACCTGAGGTAGGGAGTTCAAGACCATCCTGGCCAACATGGAGAAACCCCGTCTCTATTAAAAATACAAAATTAGCCTGGCTTGGTGACACACGTCTGTAATCCCAGCTACTCGGGAGGCTGAGGTAGGAGAATCGCTAGAATTGGGGAGGCGGAGGTTGCAGTGAGCCGAGATCACGCCATTGTACTCCAGCCTGGGAGGCAGAGCAAGACTCCATCCCAAAAGAAAAAAAAAACAGAGGGCAGAGGGGGCCAGTGGGAGAGTAGGAAGAATCGCCCCAACCAGGCTGATTGGGGTGGGAGTGGAGGGCGTTCTTGGGGGGGCCAGAATGGGCTGGGGTCCCTCCGCACAGATGCCCCCTGACCCCTGTGTCCCTGCCCCCAGGCCTACCTCCACTCCATGAGCATTATCCACCGAGACCTCAACTCCCACAACTGCCTGGTCCGAGAGGTGAGCAGCAGGGCCCCACGCGGCTGGGTGTCAGGGAGGCAGCAGGAGCCCACCCACTCCCAGCCTTGGGGCCTTCCCGGAACTGGAGGCCCCTAGGTTGCCTCCCTAACTTCAATTTGAGATGGAGGTGGGATCAGCAGCCCGTAGGGAAGAGCCCAGGGTCCGGGGGCAGACAGACCTGGGTTCAAGCCCTGTCTCTGCCACTGACTCACGGTGGGCCATCAGCATCCCAGGTCGGTAGGAGGGTCTCATAAATCAATGAAGGAGAAAGTGACATGTAAGCTGCAAAGGACCAGGACCTTAGTGTTCGCGCAGCCCACGGCAGAGTGGCCACGGGCTACCCCAGGCAGTACCAGCAGCTGGGGGCTGTGGAGTGGGGGCAGAGACGTGTGGGCTGGGGTGGTCAGGGCAGGCTTCCTGAAAGAAGAGGCTTTAAGTGGATATTTAAGCAGGGGACAGTCAGGCAAGCAGCCCAGTGTCTAAGGACTGGCAAGGGAGGGGAGCCTAGTTCTCCAACAGAAGCAGAGAAGGGGGTAACCACGCCCATCTGGAGAGGTGGTGTGTTCATGTCCTGGGGCTGCCATCACAAAGTAGTGTGACCCAGGTGGCTCCAAACAACACAAATGTGCCAGGCACGGTGGCTCACAACTGTAATCCAGCACTTTGGGAGGCAGGGGCAGGTGGATTGCTTGAACTCAGGAGTTCAAGACCAGCCTGGGCAACATGACCAAAGCCCATCTCTGCCAAAAATACAAAATGAAATAGCCGGGTGTGGTGGCATGAGCCCGTGGTCCCAACTACTTGGGAGGCTGAGGTGGGAGGATCGCTTGCGCCTGGGAGGTAAAGGTTGCAGTGAGCTGAGATTGTGCTACTCTGCTCCAGCCTGGGAGACAGAGACAGAGCCTGTCTGAAAAACACAAAACCAGGCCGGTCGCAGGGGCTCACGCCTGTAATCTCAGCACTTTGGGAGGCCGAGGCAGGTAGATTACTTGGAGCCAGGAGTTTAAGACCAGCCTGGCCAACATGGTGAAACCTTGTCTCTACTAAAAATTCAAAAATTAGCCAGCATGGTGGCACATGCCTGTAAACCCAGCTACTCAGGAGGCTGAGGCAGGAGAATCACTTAAACCCAGAAGGGCGGAGGTTGCAGCAAGCCAAGATTGTGCCACTGCACTCCAGCCTGCGCGACAGAGTGAGATGCCATCTCAAAAAAAAAAAAGCATCACATGGTGAGAGAGGCTCACGAGAGACCCCAAAACTGACCCTAATACAGACCCTCTCTTGTGATGACTGACTGGCCCTCAACAACCCATTAATCCATTCATTCATACAGAGCCCTTGTGACCCCATTACCACTTAGGGGCCCTGCCTCTTAATATTGTTACAGTCAGGCCAGGCTTGGTGACACGTGCCTGTAGTCCCAGCTACTTGGAAGGACAGCTGGGAGGATCCCTTGAGCCCAGGAGGTCAGTGTTATAGTGAGCTCTGATTGCGTCACTGAGCTCCAGCCCGGGCAACAGAGTGAGCCCCTATCTTTAAAAAAAACAACAACAACAAAAACCAGCCAGGCACAGTGGCTTACACCTGTAATTCCAACACTTTGGGAGGCTGAGGCGGGCGGATCACTTGAGGTCAGGAGTTCAAGACCAGCCTGGCCAACATAGTTGGAAGGCTGAGGCAGGAGAAGAATCGCTTGAACCCGGGAGGCTG